AGATTAAGGGATGCAACGGGGATCGATTGATGGAGAATTTAATTCTCCGTCACACCCTCTGTGTTTCATTCCTTAATATTAATTAGCCGGCAAATGAATCACCAGAAAAACATTAAGAACTTGTTGAGGACGAGGAGAACATAAACTCCCATCCGAAACTATCCCTGTGACAGCGGGACTGCTACTGCCGAGTTACCCGCACAGGCAGAGGTCGCCCAGCCGTCAGATTCGACCGTGGCGGCATCCCGCCGTTGGGGTCGAACTACTTTTGGCTTGGTGTCAGTCCAACCCTGAGATCTGAGCCTCTACTTTAGTCAATCCTCTTTGGTGCTATGTACGCTTGTTAGTAAGCCAAACAATAATCAATGAATTATTAATATCAAAGTTAATTCGAACATTTCTAACGTGTTTTACTGATAATCATGGACGATCTGCAGAATTATAAATTGCAGCTTCAACAAGTGAGCCTTCTCTATTCGTTGAATCTCATGCATAACCTTGACTATTAGCCTCTCATTGTCGAATATCCATACAAATAACGGGATATTTTTGGGTTTTGGTTCATTCCTATTGTTTCTTTTTTGAAGGTTGAAGCTGCGTTGACGACTGATCCCACTAATGAGGAATTGTTAAAACTGAAAATTGATCTTGAGGAGGTTATTGAGCTGACACAAGACCTCATAAAGTCACAGCAACAGGAGAAGAGGCAGAGCAATGGCATGGACGCCAAGGATCCCATTCTCTTGGCTGTTTTGGCGAATAAGTGGAAAGTTGGGGACTCGTGTATGGCACCTTGGAGTGAGGATGGGAAGTAAGTGGAGGATTACTTCTTTATGTTAATAATTATAATCGATATTTCACAATTTAACAAATCAATCGATTTTGCAAAATGATTTATTGAATTTTAGAATACTTGTTATGAGGATATGTATCTGCGAGCATAATAATGTTTTCATATTTAACCAGATAATGTAAAAATTCAATTTCACGAACTGATTACTCAATTTCAAAATATTCATGAATCATAGGAACAAGTGGTCTTCGAGGAAGATGTCAAAGACCTTTTTGATTGAGAAGGTAACTCTTCACAAACAGGTCTTGTGATAATTGGTCCTGATTCGAAAATTCACAGTAATAAGTCAGTATTTACGTTTTACAGAGTTCATTTTTTCTTTTCAATTTAATGTCTCATAATTTCCAACAGTGTCTTCTTATTTTTATTTTTAATTAAATTCACTATTCATTGAGGCAATGAATTATGTTTTTCATACCAATTAATTCTTTACATTTTCTATAATTTAATGATTATTTTGAAAATAAAAGAATTGAGATAAAAATGTTCAGCTACTTTTTTTTACAGAGGAGTAAATTTCCAAAAAAAGATTCTCTTGGCAATTTGCCGTAGTATCGCTCATTAGCGAGATAATTGGACAATAATCATGAATTTCATTCATATCGACTCGAATTTTTCTTCAACACTTCTACACTGAATTGATTAATCCTGTTCCCGTTCTTCATTCGTTCAGATATTACGAGGCCACGATAGATGCAATAAACGAGGATGGTCTTGTGAATATAACATTCAATGAGTTCAAAAACACAGACGTTACAATGCTAAACCAATTGAAATCAGTTGCAAAGAGGCCTGCGTCTGATTGGGCAGATCAAAAGTCCAAGTGAGTATTTCCATTACTTGAACAATTAAAATCATAATTATCATAAATGATAATATCATTGGAAAATATGTCCAGTACAGAAAATATTAAAATTCTGTTTCTCTAATTTGATTCATTTTCATGATTCCAATGAATTTATTTTGACGAATTTATCACAAGCTTTGATGATTTTATTAATCCTACGCTTTTTCTTTCTTCCCGTTGATTGAATTATGAAATAATCGACTTCTGAAATAACGGCGAATGCTTGTTGAACTACCACCATGAACCACTTGTCCTTCCAATAAATCAATGTTAAAACATTCCAATATTGTCCCACGCCGATAAAAAAATCGTGATCTGCAGGAGAAGGTAACAATAATTTTAATCATTTTATTTTGGATTTGTTTCGAGCACTTGCATACTCATTTTATTTTTGAATGGAGACAATTGGATAGTTGAATGTTGATCGTTTTCTCAAAAATCAAAATTTTTTTTCCATTTTAAAGGCAAATTCTATAATTATTTAAACGGATGAAGAATCGAGATTATTGATATCTGAATAGAATTAGTTGAAGTAGTTTTGTCGGAATGGGAAAAAAGAATTTTTTTCTTATACACGGGGTTTCACTACTGGAAGACTTTGAAAGTAAACAAAAATAGAGGCCAATGTGACAAAATATATTCAATCTAGTGACCAAGGAAAAATCTTAGGTACCCATGCTAGGCAAGCAATGCAGATATTTGAAACTTCGAGCGCCCATATATAACTTCATGCTAATGCCGACATTCAGTGCATATTGTCTATTTCATTTCAACATAAAGCATATAACTCTGTCGATCAGTTGAAAAAAAAATCAAATGTTTTTGAGTGTTTGTGATTTTGGGAAAACATTCTTGAAGGGTAGAAAATGGTTGAAGTTGAAATATCTCCTGTTGTTAATTATCGAACTGTTCAAGCATATGGTTTAGTTCACGAGAAAATGTCGAAAGACCTTTTATGTTAGAAAATTCCTTGGCTAAAAACAGGTCCAAATTCCTAAATTTTGTCATATACTTACATAATTCAATAATTAGTAATTTAGCAAATCCAGGGGAATTCAAATTTTTGTCAATTAGGTGATTATGTTGTTAATGAGAAATTTTTCTTCAATAATTCACTTATCAACAGAACTGTTCAAATTTTCCATTCAAAGATGATCATAACTTCAATTTCCATTATTAATCAACGAATGANGTTCTTTTGTTACAGAGATTAAGGGATAAAAGAGGGTTAATTGATAGGGAATTTAATTCTCCGTCGAACTGCCCCTTTTTCATCCCTTAATCTCAATTAGGAGGGGAGAGGACAATTTTTAATTACTGGGAGTCACTGTACGCCGGGAAACTGTTGTTTTTCTCACTGGCCCCTGACTTTCTTGGCAGTTTATATTTTTTTGTTACAAAGATTAAGAGATGAAGGAGGGTTAATTAATGGAGAATTTAATTCTCCATCGAACTGTCCTTTTTTCATCCCTTAATCTCAATTAGGAGGGGAGAAGTGAATTTTTAATTCGCGGGCGAATGGTGAATAGTCAGTGTGCGCCGCGAAAAAATTATTTTTCTTACTGGCCCCTGACTTTCATGGCAGTTTTTAATTTTTTGTTACAAAGATGAAGGGATGAAAGAGGGTTAATTGATGAAAAATTTAATTCTCCGTCGAACTGCCCTTTTTTCATCCCTTAATCTCAATTAGGAAGGGAGAGGTGAATTTTTAATTACCGGGCGAATGGTGAAAAGTCTGTGTGCGCCGCGAAAAAATTACTTTTCTTACTGGCCCCTGAGTTTCATGGCAGTTTTTATTCTTTTGTTACAGAGATTAAGGGATAAAAGAGGGTTAATTGATAGGGAATTTAATTCCGTGTCGAACTGCCCTTTTTTCATCCCTTAATCTCAATTAGGAGGGAAGAGGTGAATTTTTAATTC